TATCGAAAACGACTTGTTTCTACTACTATTTCAAGTACAATATACTAAATGATGGTTTGTTAATCTCGATTCAATTTTGTGACGGTATTGTTGGGATCTTTATTGCTGACGATTTTCACAATATAGTAATGATATTTATCATCAGTACTAGTATTAAAATATCAGTTTAGATAACATCAAGTGATATGTTCAATGAAATGTAGTATTAAGTGATACTTATCATTTATTGTCATATTAATGTCATCTAAACTGATATTTTAATACTAGTACTGATGATAAAATCATCCAATCATCATGCAAAATAGTCATGTCAAAAACAAAAATAAAATGTGTCAATTTCGACAAAATATATCCCAACCCACTATTAATCTCAAAAGCAAGACCACGTTTTATTGTGTCTATGTGGATCTCCATCTCCATTTGATCAAGCTTTTAGTGACTTTCTTTTTTGACCACTTTTAGTTTAGACCAAAAAATGATTTCAATGGGGAAAAAACCTAAGAGGGATGATTACTAATATTTTTGAAAGCTTTGTACCACGACTATCGATGCATGAATATTATCAGATAACACATGGGTACACGATATGATCCTTTCATGATTAATATGATATTTTTGTAAACTAAGATTACTTCAGTACGTAATACGGTTGATTTGTTAGAAATGTAAAGAATGTATTTAACATTGTTTATTTTTAAATTATGGCTTACGATATTTATCTAATTTAATATCATATCTAACTATTTTATTGAAAATTTAATGTTTAACATTGCTTGTTGCCCTCTTTAAGTTCTCAATTACGTGGAATTTGGTAACACACACCCCCACTTAGAAAAATATCATGTTACCTTTTAGTCATAGAAAAATGAAACATTTTTTTTTGTGGAGTAGTTGGGTTACGTACTGGATATTTGTACCTTAATTTCTTTACTATTCTAATACGGACAAATGACAAATCATTATTTGGTAAGTGTGAAAACAATTAGTTTTATGGTAAAATCAATGAACATAGGACAGTCAGCCCCACAGAGCACGCTGGCTTTGTACGACTATATTGATGCACAGACGACTTGANTTGATTATATTGTCTTAATTGCTCTATTCCAATCCATGCATTTTAATTAGTATTATCACTTTCTTTTCTTATTCTTCTTTGCTATGTTCAGCAAGAGAGGGAAAATTACGAATACGTGGTGATTGATGGAAAAATATTGCACAATAAATCTGGAAAACCCCTAGAAACGAACACAGGATCAACAGAGTTGAAATGGATCTTCGTGGTGAGCACATCCAGGAAACTCTACATTGGAGAGGTAAGATCTAAAAGGAAATTGTAAGTGTACAGGCATGACTTGAAACTTTTGATTTATTCTTACATCTATATTTTTATTACCTTCAGAAAAAGAAAGGATCGTTCCATCATTCTAGTTTCCTCGCGGGAGGGGCTACTTTAGCTGCTGGGAGGCTCATGGCAGAAGATGGAGTGCTCCAGGTAAAGTCTGGGCACTAATCATCATCCAAAGTCTTGGTCCTGATATATTGACGTCAAATTTAATTCTTTTGAAAATACAGTTTGCTGATTTAGAACAGGATTTCACAATAATGCATTATGATCTAATGCAACCACTTTACTTTCTTCAGTGGATCTCACCTTACAGCGGACATTACAAGCCAACTGAAGATTCCCTGGAGACCATTTTATCAATTCTCAAGGAAAACGGAGTCAACCTGGATGAAGTCGAGGTACTTCATCTACATTTCCTGTTCTGAGTATTACTTACACAGCCTGAACATGGTGCTTGCTTTTTGTGAATACTTTTTTCATAAGTAGCGTCCAAGATAAATGCGAATTTTCATCTTCTGAATAGTAGTCGTTTGGAGTTATGATTTTAGTATTCCACCTAATAGTGCTGTCCTGTGTCTTATTTAATCAGATCAAGAAGGCAAATGAAGATTCTGAGAGTTCTGACAATGGAAAATTGACTAAATACATGTCTACATTCGAACTTCCATTTACATCAGTTTCTGTTCAACCTTGTCTTCCCCATGAAGAAGAAAGAAACCCGCCTAAAGAAACAATTGAAGCATCTCGAACTGAAGTTAAAGTTGAGTACAAGAGGGTTCTCTCCGGAGGTCTCCAGAGCCCTAGAGCGAACGTACCAAAGGAAGCAATACTGCAAAGAATTAACTCCAAGAAGGCTGCAAAGTCGTATCAATTAGGCCATCAACTCCCGCGCCAATGGTCAACAGGTGCTGGTCCAAGAATTGGTTGTGTTGCAGATTACCCTCCAGAATTGAGGTCACAAGCTTTGGAACTTACTAACCTCTCTCCCGCAGTATCTCCTTCATCGTCTATTCCTACAATCCAACAAGCTTGTCAGCCGTCTCCTTCCGTTGAGGCAGATACATCCTCTAAGGTCAATTAAGGCTCACTCTCGAGCTTTGAGGACCTAAGTACGTATTATTAGCAGTGTGTCCTAGGACAGTAGACAAAATTTTAAATCCCATTTATAGTCTTGTCTAGTGTAGCAAGTCAGCAAGTGTGCTTGAAAAGTATCACTAATGTAACAGAATAATTCTTTCACGTAGTCCTCAAATAAAATTTTAATAAATTTTTAAAAATTATAAAATTTAGCGAATTTCGTGAATTTGAATAGATTTTCACATAATCTATAAAAATTTCATTAAAAATAGTAAAATTTCAAAAGAATTTATTATGTTAGAAATCCATTCAAATATTTTTAAGTTGAAAGCCATACAAATATTTTGAAATCTCTTTATTAATGAAATTCTTGTAAATATATGAGTTATTGATGATATCTAGATTTTAAAGGATTTTATTAAAATTCATTAAAATCTCATTTATGAACACCTAGATTAACCTATTAAAATCTCAATTTGGGGACACTAAAATTTAGATGGACTTTTAAAATCTCAATTGAAGGCACAATCCATGTCTAACCTCCATTTCTTAAACTCATTCTCAGTTGTACATTTCATGGGATCCGCAACTTTTATCATTTATAAATTTTGGAATAGTGATTGATGGAAGAATGTGTGATTGAAAAGTAATGAAGAGTTTTAAATTTGTGTGTAATATTATTTTATTTGGAGAATGCGTAGTTATAATTAAGAATGAGAAAATTTTTTAAAAAAATTAATAGGTGCCAAACACCCACTAAGGGAACATCTAAGGTCCCTCGTGCCACGAGTAAACAATACACTATAGCATAATGATATAATCGTCTCGAGGAATTGAACCATGCACACGACCCTGATCTTTCGCCACTACTACAATTGAATTCGGATTGCTCCACAAATTGGAATAAAAATCACTTTATTATTTTTACATACAACTTCCTTACGTGAATTTCGTCAATGAAGAGTTACTAGTTTCTTCAGAATTTTCTTCTTCTTATTGATCAGACTCCAGAATCGTCCCCTCTTATTAAAAACTTGTGTTTTTTTTTCTTGTAATCCAAGCCTCCAATATTTATCCTAGAGATCTTTTTCATTCATAGAGGTAGACTTAAAAAACGTCTGGCACCCTCTTCTATATAAGGTTGATTTTTGCTTGGCGCATCGGTTGTTAAAATCTTTGAGAAATATTAATCCGGATTCAAGAAAATCAATCAAACGAACACCACCCAACAAGCTTGACCCAAAACCAAACCAACACTTTGGTTCCACAAGTTCACCCCACGAAGGACTCTAATGGTGGTGATATTAGCAATTCACTAACGTAGGAAGAAGAAGAGATAACAATGATTTAAAACACACGTTTGATAATTTATCCACCTTGATACCCAATCAACCGCAAGCAAATAAAACGCAATGTTTATACTTGCATAATCAAGGTAACCAATAAAATTGGGATTACAACCCTTAGCTCGTGTTTCGACCCCGAAACACATACTATACATGCTCTATGTACTCATNGGTAACCAATAAAATTGGGATTACAAACCTTAGCTCGTGTTTCGAACCCGAAACACATACTATACATGCTCTATGTACTCATCAAGGTTAAGGAAAAAAAATTCAAGTAGAAGCAAATAATCACAGTAATCAATTAAGAACAAATAAACATGCGATGAAAATATTATATAGGATAACACAGATCTTTTCAAAAATACGTTCACACAAAACAACAGATTAACACCAAGTTAATCAATTAAACGATCAATACATATGCAATAAATGCATAAATGACCCCACAAAAGATCCCACCACACTTATCCTATCCTCTTCCGTGTTACTCACACATTGAGAGCACATATCTCACCTTATCGCTCACCATGCTCCCTAAACTGATCACTCAACTCACGTCTAACTGGTAAACCACAATAGATCATAAGTCTCTGAAATTAATCCTTTATAACCACCTCACTTTCTCAACTTAAGTGGATAATGAGTCTCACAGAAGTGATAGAAATGTCTCTCTCACACTCCAACTGATCAGTGTCTTCACAAATAAAGGATTTTAGATATTTCATCATATCTCCATTCGTGATCTAAATGTCACACTCCACATCCCGCGATACATACCACCAATGTACCCTATACTCCACATTACCAAAACATACACAACACACTTACCGCTGATGTATCTCAAACCCACAATGGCAAAAATCAACGCATTTAGCAACCACAAAGGTTAGGGTTCAATTTAAATCAACCCAAGCACCATAAGGTTACTCCAAAGCCAATGCTCAAAAAATTCACAAAGGAATTGGGTGAAGGTGTCACTCATAAAGAGAATAAAAGAAAGAGTTAGTTACTTCACTACACTCACAAAAGAGGCTCACAAAGAGGAAGAATATAACCCACATATGGCTGCCCCACATAATCTCACAAATCACACAGGAGTACAAAGATAAAAGAGAAAATGATTGCCCCACTTTCTTCTCACTACCACACCCTCTCACACCACTTATAGAGCAAAAGGAATATGTTACAGAACTCAATCTACCATGCATGCAAACACATTACACAAAGTGATAAGATCACTCATCAAACATATTGAAAGTATAACGTATCAACATTACAATAGAATTAAGTGATCACACACGTAGAAAATGATTACACACAAATGCACATGTAGTAACCATGTTTACTCTAAATAAACCTCACACTAGTCATAACTCGACCCAATGGCAACATCTGCCTCATCACTCTCCTTATCTTTCTTTTTATTATCATTTCTAGGACAATCTATACACCATGTACAAATTTACCGTTGTTAAAACACATTTTACTTTTCGTATTTGTTTTAGATCTACATTTGCCATCAAATATTTCACGAATTTTTTTTTCGTTTTACCAAATTGAAAAATCACATTTTTTCCATTTGAAAAGCACAATACAAAATGTATTGTCATTTCACCAAAAAAATGTACATAAGAAAAAATGCAATGCCAACAAAAGTGTACAACATGAAATGTACATATAGCATAATTTAATATCTTCAACATTGCCTTTTACCTCTACAGATGGCTGAGGTAACAACGGCTACAACTAAAGAAATTTAAGAAGAGTTGCAATCAACATTGTTGGGTTTTTTTTTATCCAAATTAGGTTGGATTTTTGAAAAAATATTTTTTCCTTCTTTCCATGTGTTTTTATTGGAAAAATATTATTTTCTTTATTTCACGTGATAATTAATTTTATTTCCATTTTTGTGATATTTCTAAGTTTGGCATGCACCCTTGTAAATACTAGGATATTCTCAAAAGTTTTGCATTACTGAAATGTAGAATAATTATGTAGACACAATTATTGTATTTTTTTTATCCATATTAGTCAATTGAATAAAATACTATATTCCTTAATTATTTACCTTTTATCTTGTTGTTTGCTTTTGATCATATATTTCATATCGTGTCATATATATTACTTTAATCCGTTTTATTTTCCAACAAGTGATATTAGACCTATTAATTGCGATTTGTTTAAGATTTTTGTTATTGATGTAAGCCCTCAAGTATCAAATTTCGTTATTAGATCGCAATACAAAATTCTCGTTGTGACAAGTGAAGATGCAAGTTATACTCACGCAGATGAATTTGGATGACTCTTTGTTGTAATTTAAAAAAATGCCCACAACTTGGATGACAGAGGAGAAACAATGGAAGGACTGGAAGGTACTTTCACAGATCTATCTTCATCTCTTTAAAAATATTCTTCATGACGTTTTGAAGGAGAAAACGATAGTTGCATTGTAGTTGAAATTGGAGCAATTGTGTATGACTAAAAGTCTGACAAGCAAATTGGATCTGAAGCATATGTTCTATTCTCATCGCATGACAGAAGGCAGATCTTTGAAAGATTATCTGGCTGTGTTCAAGGAGATCTTTGCTGATTTAGAGACATTAAAGGTAAAGTATGATAAAAAAGATTTGGCCTCAATCCTTTTGTGTTCGCTACCCGTTTCGTTTACTTCGTTTAGAGACATAATCTTGTATATCTGTAATACTCTCACTACTGAAAATGCATATGATATCTTGTTTTCAAAAAAGGAGATGAAGCATCTAGTTGGATCTGAGGCTAGAGATGGAGAATGTCTTGTTGTTCATGGTGATTGGAGAATGGGTAAGTTGATGTCAAATTTCAGTAATCAAGTTTGTTATTATTGCAAAAAGAAAGGACGCATTAAGAGGGGTTGCGACAAATTATAGAACAAAGGTAATTTGATTGCAAATCATGGAAAGCAATCAAATACTTCAGACGAAACCAGCGTAGCCGATGACTATTTGAGTGATAGAGATGTTTTGACGATTTTTTATATGGAATCCAAACCTGAAGTGGAGTGCATTTTGGATACAACTTATGTGTTCCATATGTGTGACAATCAAAATTTGTTTGGAACATATGAAACGGTGACGCAATGTGTCATTGTCATGGCTAACAACGAACCTTGTTGGGTAGTTGATATTGGTAGAATGAAGCTGGAAGATAGAACACTTGATCACGTTCGACAGATTCCAAACTTGAAGAAGAATCTTATTCCATTGAGCACTCTTGATTCAAAATGGTACATGTTCTTGGAAAGAGGCGGAGTCTTGAGGGTTTAGAAGGTGTTCGTGTTGTATTGGAGGGACAAAAGATGTCTCAATTATACATCTTACAAGGTCAGGCAGAATTTGTGAAGAAAAGTCAGCACATATTTGGTATCGTGGTGGAGATTCAGCTTGGTACTGTACCTTTTGGAGAACCTGGTGTTTGGGTTCATGTATCCATGTTGGATACAGTGGAAGTGGAGTATTTTTGGGTTGAAAAAAGTTTGGTTCTTATTGAAGAGTTCAGATTTTTCGTTGTAGTCGGATTTATTTTTCCATTTGAGAGATTTTTGAGCTTCATTCACTGCATCAGAATTTGTATCAAGGTGAATATTATTAGATTTTTGACCTAAATTAGATTGAATTTT